AGTCAAATGGTTATATATACATTGAGGCAAATGGTGGTCTAAATCAGCAGAGGACTTCAGTAAGTTTGACTCCTCGTCTTGTTGAGCGTTTCTTTTCTTGTTTAAGCTTGTGCTTTGCCTATTGCATTCGGAAGATCATTCTTAACAACTTTCTTGACTTCATACTGCATGGTTGTTGTTGATGCTTTCTAGATATGCAATGCAGTTGCCGTTGCAGGCTATCTTAATGCAACACTTGTAATTCCCAATTTTCACTTTCATAGCATCTGGAGAGATCCAAGGTTTGTCAGCACTTATCTCTTTTTTGGTTGTGTTTGTAGGATCAGAATGCTTAACCATGAATATCCATGTTTATTAACTTTCTCAGTATATTGAAATTTGCAACCAAATTATGAGGTACATAATCCTATTAAAAAAGGGAAAAGAATATGAGGTTCACAAGAAACAGTGTGTGTTTTGAGTTTGTTGCCTATACAACTCAACTCAGGTTAACACTTCAGCTCAAAAGAAAACTGGAGGAGGGATAAAAGTGTAAAGATACATGATAAGATAGAAGGAATAAACTGACATAAGGTGCAATACAACTTTTTTTTTTTTTTACTTTCGGGCTGGCAGGAACACTGCATTACAGATATTCTGTTTATAGTGCTGCACCTTGCTTATCACCTCATAGTTTTTATTAGGAGGTTTCTGTTGAATGGGTACGAATATAGTATTTGGTACTTCATTCTCATATAACTAGACTCTGATTTTCTTTTTTTTTTTCTTCTTACTATTGTCCAGTAAATTCAGGGAAATTTATGACGAAGATTATTTCATCAGTATGTTGGAAAATGATGTCCGCGTGGTTAACAAGATTCCTGAATATTTAATGGAACGCTTTGACCACAATATGACCAATGTTTACAACTTCAGAATAAAAGCATGGTCACCCATTGTGTATTATAAGGAAGCTGTTCTCCCAAAGCTACTTGAAGAAAAGTGAGTCAGAAATTCTTAAATCTTTATTTGCCTTTAGTTATTTAAAGTTACTTTCGCATTTGTCATCCTGCTAAATATTGTTCTAAAATGGAACTTTGCATCAAATTAGATAGTTTGTGTGCAGGTAGAGGTTTTAAATTTCAACCTTGACCTACCGGCCCCTCTGAATGTGATGTTCTTGGGTTGGACACTTTTGGCTATGTGTTTTCTATCAATCAAAATTCTGCTTGGCAGATGAGGTTTCCAGGGTTGAGGCGCAATAAACTTGTGTTCTTGATCTTAATTTCATTAGTGGCCATCAATCATTGATTCATTATTTATATGTTGTTTTATTACTATTTTTAATGAGATCCAGTAACTATACTTAAAAAGTTTTTGTTCTCGGCATTGAACTAATATGGATTGTTATACACTTTGTTATATCCATTGCATATTCTAGGGATGCTTATTTTCCATTTCTTTTTTATGATCGGACATATCCATCATCAATTTTGTCAATGGGTGTGGCAAGTTTCAAGCAATGCATATATAAAATGATGCTTAATGATGGTTATATTTGTGGATGAAACAGGGTTATACGGATTTCTCCTTTTGCAAATCGATTATCATTTGATTCTCCTCCTGCTGTCCAACGGCTAAGATGCTTGGCAAATTATGAAGCTTTAAAGTTTTCAAGTCCTATACTAACTTTGGGAGAAGTTTTGGTTGCAAGAATGAAAGAGCGCAGCACAAATTATGGCGGAAAATATATTTCTGTTCATCTTCGGTTTGAGGAGGTTTGTCTTGATCAACTAGAAGTGTGGCATTGTAATTGACCTTTTTATCACCTCATGAAGAAGGTATTATCTTTCTTTCTCAAGTGGAACTACCGCTATCCTATTTGCAGGACATGGTTGCATTCTCTTGCTGTGTTTTCGATGGTGGAGAGCAAGAAAATGAAGATATGAAAGCAGCAAGGGAAAGAGGTTGGAGAGGGAAATTTACCAAACCTGGCAGGGTTATACGTCCTGGAGCAATCAGGATTAATGGCAAATGCCCCCTCACTCCCTTAGAGGTATATCTTTTGCTTTTGGGTAGTTCTTGATGGCATGTTTAATTACAAACTGAACTTCTTATTGACAAACGGCAAAAAAGTTCTGCCTGAATTCCAATTGAGCATGTAAATTTCATATTCATGTTGAGCAACATAGGAGATGGTTACCACTCCCTTATCCATTGTGTCATTCTTCTATTGGAACCCAGAATAGGAGGCACCTGCATTGCAAGGCAGCCTATGCCATTGTGCCATGATGCCATCTGCCAGCTGGGGTCCCCTAGCAACTGTTTTTTTTTTTTTTTTTTCGTTTTGTTGAGTTTATTATTTACTTCAGAAAGATTTTATGACTTTTTAAGTTTCTTTTGTATTTCTTGATATGAATTGTTTATTATTTCTTTTTCTATGTCACCTCATCAGGTTGGCTTGATGCTTAGGGGAATGGGTTTTGATAAGAACACATTTATATATTTGGCATCTGGAAAGATATATAATGCTGAGAAGACAATGGCCCCATTACTGGAAATGTTTCCTAATTTGCAGACAAAAGAGATGCTAGCGTCAGATGAAGAGCTTGCTCCATTCAAGGTCCAAATAGTTTTATTCTGTTTTGTTCTACTCTCTCTGCAGTCTGGTATAATACCATTGTTCTGACTTTGAGTTACTGCTACTAGAATTATTCTTCCAGGATGGCTGCGATAGATTACACTGTTTGTCTTCATAGTGAGGTATTTGTGACAACTCAAGGGGGGAACTTTCCCCATTTCTTGATCGGACACAGAAGATACTTGTATGGTGGACACTCAAAGACTATCAGGCCCGACAAGCGGAAGCTAGCATTACTCTTTGATAATCCAAAAATTGGGTATGTATACATTTCTTTTGCTGCTAGCTTAGTTTCTGTTTGGGCCACTCTAGTTTAGTTTCATCAAAAATGCATCTTCGTATGTATTGAAATAGCTAGAAGTTTGGCTACATTTGCTGATATTTGTGTCAGGGCCTTTCTTTTATTGGTGTTGCGGCAGTAGGCAGGAAATGAGAAGTGTTGTTATGGTTCTGGCTGTAGCAGTCGATTAAGAATAGATGAAAATACATTATGGACTCATGCATTTGAGTTATATGAATGTCTCGGACACCAAAGTAAACTTTGTGATGAATGTTTAACTTCATTTTTCCTTAATTTCTATGTGTACCTATGATGTTGGACGTCAGTAGGGTTACCAAAGTGTTCATAGTTGGCTGTTTGTGTGAAGTTTTTAGTGACTAAATAGAATGAAATGAGTCGTCATCAACAATGGTGACATGAATATTGAAAAATCGTTCCTCACTATTAACATTCTTCAGCATACACAGAAGTAACGTTACTTGGTTTTGTTGTTCATTCCTCAGATGGAAGACTTTCAAGCGTCACCTGCTTGGCATGAGGTCCCATAGTGATTCAAAGGGCTTTGAGCTCAAGAGGCCAAATGACTCGATATATTCCTTCCCGTGCCCTGATTGCATGTGCCGCACAAACAAGACAGAAGGTTCAAGAGCAGCATCAGCTACATGATTTTGCTTGAAGATGCTTGTGATCACGTGAGCACACCTTACCGCTGACCCCTCCTTTTGTGTTGCTATTCTTTCATTTTTTCCCCCCTCTGTCCTGACGTGTAGAGGCATACACCAATTTTGGGAGATACAAGGAATTTGTTGGAGGTCACATTTGCCTAATTACTTACCCGGGATCGTACATTGAGGAAGCTGGATAATTTTGTATATGATGTCAGAAGACAAGGTAGCGAGACACGAATCCTTTCATCACAAGAGCTTCCCGGGTGTTTGACGGAGCATTGTTTCATATCTGCAGCTGCTGTATTTGACAAGCTGTGCACTGACAGATCACATTCCTTTCACACCCTGGTTTGGCCATGCATGTAGATTAGTTAGAGTTTGATCTGCAAGTGCAAATAGGGTCAGGTTGGATAATTTTTGTACATTTATCCAAGATCAGGGTATTCGATTTGATTTCGATTCTTTTTTTACTGTGTTCTTTCGGGGTTTCATACATGTATCTTTGCCTGATCTCTATCCCCTTTCGTAGAAGTTTTAGTGTCGTTGCTGACGCTCCCAGGATACGTACTCATCAGTATATACATTAATTTTTGTGACATAGGGAGCTTCAATGTATTTAGTTGGCTTCAAATTTTTTGAACTTGTAGTGTGTTTCGTTTTCTTTTCTTCTGCCCAGAGCTAGTGCTCTGTTTTCTTTCTTTACTTGTGTATTCTTTGGACTTGCGTTTCCGGCCATGTCCAATCTGCAACGGGCCGTGTAGAAAAGTTAAAATATATGACAATGCGTAATTGACTTATCTGTCGTGTTGTTTCACCAAGCGTTTTATGGGAATGGGATACGGTTTTTATGAGAATGGGATGCGGATCATGGAAATGTGGAGATTTTGCCCATCACATGATCCAGTTTTCCGTTGGTGGGAATTTATTTTGCTCGCCTGACCCAAAATTGGTGAGGGTCAACGGTAAACCCAAATTGGTTTATAGCGTTTTACTACAGTGATGAAAAAATATCAGATCTTTTTTTTAATAATTAATAATTTAACTTACTAACGCTAACGTTTGTAAAAAAAAAGAAAAAATGGTAAAGGAGATATAATTCGTCAGTTTTTTGTATCTCAGCATTGAAGATACTCTTAATTATAAATTACTTGAATTTGTATTCTTTGTTGGTAAATTATAAGAAACTGTCAACCCAATATTATCATATTCCACGATAAAATTATTGAGTTCTTGATTTTTTTTTTCTACATTATATTGCGTGATTAACTTGAAGATTCAATCTTTCGGGTTTTTCGTGTCAAACATATTCATGTTTGTCAGATTTTTTTATTTTTTATTTTTTTACAAAAATGAGATATTTACAAAAAAAAAAAAAAGAAGAAGGTATTTCCTTTTTCCTTCGATCTTATCGGATGAGTAAATTTGACAACCCCGCGAGAATATATATAGAATCCAAGATTGCACCTTTTTATAGTATATAAAAGATCACAGCACAGAGGACCGGAGGACATTACGATCGGTCAGCTCCGAAACGCCTCCAAAAGCTTCCAACGTTTGACGACCTGTTTGTTTGCCCCTCTCAGCCTCAGACGCCATGGGAATCGTCGGAAATCTCAGTCCTGACCAGCTCCAGACCTTCCGCTCCCAAGGTAACCAAACCAAACCAAACCAAACCAAACCAAAACCTTAATTAATTAAGCTCCTAATTACCTCGTATTATCCTAAGAAAACGCAAACACTAGTTAGCTTTGGGTTTTGACTTGGGGAATTGTTGTTAATGTTTTATGGTTACGCAGGTTATCTTGTCATGGAATCGTTTGCGAGCGCGGAGGACATCGAGGCCATGAGGAGCAGAATGGACCAATTGCTCCAAGACTTTGACTGCTCTTCCACCGCCTCTATTTTCTCCACCAAGAACCAGGTTTCTCTTTTCTTTTCTTTTTTTTTTTAAAATTTAAATTTAAATTTAAATTAATTAGTTAATTTAATGTTTTTATCATAATTTTTAGTTATTTGTATATGTTTCTCTGTAATTATATCTTCCTTTTTAATTATATTTTACAGCAACACACTACTGATAATTACTTCTATGATAGCGTCGACAACATTTCGTTTTTCTTCGAAGGTATCATTTATGTTTCAGTGTTCGATAACCTCGAAACCATTTACTTTGATTCGTGTTTGTATGTTGTTTTCCTTTCTTTGTTAAAAAAAAGATTGAATCTTTAAGTAACTTGGTTCCAAATAGCGAAGTTGAACACTTAGTTTGCACAGCTTACAATGTTGGGACTTGTTAATTTTGGCAGAGAAAGCCTTTGGGAGTGATGGAGAACTGCAACAGCCGAAGGAACTTTCGATTAACAAAGTTGGCCATGGTAAGCTCTGAACCACTTTCACAAACCCCTTTTAGTTTTCTCTTTATCGTAAAAGTTGTAGAAATGGATTGTAGTTTTTGTCTTTGCGTTTTTAAGTTGAACTAAGATTGTAAAAGCGTGTGGTCTGTTGGTGCAGCGTTACATGAGCTCGATCCAGTATTTAAAAGGTTCACGTATTCTGAGAAAATTTCAGGCTTGTTCTCCTCCTTGGGTTACAAAAGGCCCATTGTCATTCAGTCTATGTACATTTTCAAGGTATTACATATTCTCTCGTGTTTAACGCTTTGTTCTGCGGCTTTTATAATTTTTATATTGATGAAGAATTAAGTCCATTTGGATGAAACGATTGTTTTCTGACAATGAGGCTAATTGGTCGAAAGAACCCTAAAAACATTAGGCACAATGCATTTGGAATGACTATGTATATGTATATGTATACTGGTATTCGTGGTTGCAGATGGGGGACACTTGATCGACATTTCTATACACTTATATGAAAACATATGCATTTAAAAATATGCGTTCAAAAGTTTTTACACAGATATGCACAAATATAATCAGGAAAAGGAAAGGGGTAAAGACTTTATCGGCATTCCTGCCTCACCCCTCTTTCAACAAGGATTTTTTTTTTTTTAATTTTAATTTTGTTGGGACTAGGTCTACAATGCGATATCACTTGTGTCTACGAAACGGTGAAATTAGCAATATTATCATTTGAAGGCAAATAAGTCCCGGCTAAACCTTGATTGCATGATTTTAAGAGGTCACACTTGGTGCGATGGCAAGTGCTTTCGCCCATGAGCGGTAGGTCTCGGGTTCGAGACTTGGGAGCAGCCTCTCCATAAATGGGGGTAAGGCTAGCCGACATTCACCTCTCCCAGACCCTGCGTAAAGCGGGAGCCTTGTGCACTGGGTACGACCTTTTTTTTTATAGTTTTAAATATAATTGTGTTTGAGAGATTGGTTAGTTAATATGTCTATACTGGTATTTTTTTTTCTTTAAGTATGCACAAACTAATCCACAAGAATATTGTTTGCAGCAACCAGGAATCGGAGGTGAGGTAGTGCCACATCAGGATAATTCATTTCTTTATACCGATCCACCAACTTGCACAGGGTTGTGGCTGGCTTTAGAAGATGCAACAATAACGAATGGCTGCCTATGGGCTATTCCTGGATCTCAAAAGAGTAATATTCTCCTCCTCCACCTCTTCTTTACTATTTCTTCCCTTAAAGACATCTTTGCCAATTTTAATTTTCTGCATGCGAGCTGGAAGGGCTTTGAAATTGTTTGGTTCGGTCTAGTAATACTTTCTTGTAATTGGTCTTTATGTTGTTTTACAGATGGGCTTGTACGACGGTTCATTAGAGGAGAAGAAGGTGTGACCTTTGATCGGCCTTCCCCTGTGTATGATCAAAAAGATTTTATTCCCATCGAAGTGAAAGCTGGGTCTTTAGTTGTTATTCACGGTGATCTTATTCATCAAAGGTCAGTTCAAATAAATTCTCTCTGTTGATCCTTTAAATTTTTATCCATAGTTGGGTGGTCTAAAGAGCCTATTTTTGCCTTTTTCGCTGTCAAATGTTTGAACTGCAGTTTCGAGAATCAGTCCTCGAAATCAAGGCATGCGTACAGCTTGCATGTGGTGGATACCGATGGCTGCAAATGGTCTCAAGATAATTGGTAAGTACATCTTGCGTTGTAGAATCACTGTGCTTTACCCTTCGTCGTAGGAATTACTTGTAAACACTACATCTTTTCTGGTTGCTGGAGCCTAGAAGTATGAAGCCAAACTTTGTTCATGCAAGCCTTGATTTTGTTTGTTAATTATAGAACACCATAGGGCTCGTGTGGTCTAGGATTCTAACATATCGTTTCCTTGAGCATCGCCTACTGCCGAAGTCTGAACTGAATTATTCTAAAGAATGTGCTTGGTTTTATGTTTAACCAGGATCAGGAGAAAAGTGGAGCCAGAGCCTCTCTATGTATCTTCTTTGACCTAAAACTTGCTCTGTAGATCCGTTACACAATGCTGCAATGATCCTCAAGCAGATGCAGAGCCATCTACTTTGAAGGTATTCCGCATTCGAAGTTCCTGTGAACATCTACATCTGTAAGGGGGTTGTCGAGAAGAAATTCGATAAACGCTGAGTCATTTGTTTCTTTAGATGAATAAAGCTGAGCCATTTATCATTGTAATCAATAATCTTCTCTTGCTTTTTTAGGTGTGAACTGTTTAGTTAATAGTGCATTGTATGAAAATAAGTATAAAACAGTACCTCCGAATATGAACAGCTTAGCCGTATATTGCTTGCTTTGTATGACAACCGTCCTTTGGTCTCCCTTTTCTTTCGGAAAATGATTTCTGCACACTTATTTATTGGAGCGGAAAAATTCGCATCCTTCAACAATAATCTTGTAGTCTTGTTGAGAAGCATGACGCACTTATCCCCTTGCCATCAATGGGGGAGGAAGGGTTACCTGCAAGTCTCACGTTCTATGATTCCTTTTCCGACCCGTCGGTTTGGTTGGCTAATTGGTTTTTTATAGTACTCATGTCTTGGGCTCCAAGTTCCACTTTCTTCATATTTCTCCATGTTCAATGTTCCATGGAAGAGCTTGATCATGTTTCTTTGTTCTAGCCTCACTTCCCACGTCTACAATTCACGGGTAATATCATATTACCGGTTCGGTTTGACTTGTAAATGGCAAATTACCGAACCGGTTCAAACCAAAAGCGATGTTTTACAGCTTTTTTTTTTCACTTGGTCCGGTCCAGTTTCAACGGTTGGAAGTGACCAATGAAACCCTAGAGATGGACACAAAAAGGTCATACTTAGGTTTGGCAAGTGAGAATCCTATTTGCATGGCAATTGGAAAATTATTAGTTAATATAAATACATTGAACCCATTCATCGAGTTGTTCGGACTTTCTCCGACAACCTTCGTACCCATATGATTTTACAGATATCAACTAAATAATAATTCCGGCCGCATTCGGAAAAATGATAAGGTTGGATCGACAAATTTGTAGCTAGCCTACTAGCCAGGTCTTCAATCTGTTTGAATGATAGCTACTCCAGAAGCTTATTGCAGGTGCCAACACCGATGGCTGCAGCAAGGTGCCACGCAGCATGAAGGAACGGAGTCTGAGGAAACACGTCGTCGGCAAAGAACAGCACGCCTCCCAGTATTGACGACATCTTATGTACAGTGTGTGCCTTTCTTAGCTCAGGATCTTTCAATGCTCTCCTGGCGAATGCTACCTGGAAAATAACAAATAACGGGTGATGAGGAAAGCGGGAAACAATTTTAGCTGAACGATCGAGGAGCTTACGTGAACTTTTCACGTTACCTATGCCTACTTCCGTATCAGGTTTCCTGATTTGTCAAGCTTCGGTGCACAATGCAGAGTTGTAGACACTAGACTCTATAAATGCATTAAAACAGCAGTTTTTATCAAATCCTAAATGTCGTGATCGGCTGGTTTTACCTATTACTCGCTGAGCACACAGCATTTCCGACGTGGGTGACACTAGACGAGAGTCATGAAATTGATAACGAACGGTGGTTAAATCTTAAAAGTTACCTCCATCATTCCAGTATGAACAGCTGAAACCATCAGAGGCTGGAAGGGTAAACATAATGCAGAAGCCATCAGCAGTTTTGGGTTTTCATTTCTGAGGGCTCTTGATAGACACTGCAAAAATACGAGTTGGTCCATTTCTGAGGGCTCTTAATCGTAGCGCTTCTTCGGATAAACAACTAACACTTATTTGGGGGAGTTTTTATCTGACTTACTACTGTTGTTGTGGCTATCATTGTATAATCGGCCCATCTTAAATACTGCCTTAGTTTTCCTCTCGAAGAATGATATAAACTTGAGGCGACTCCAACTCCAATTAATGAATTAGCATATAGCTTGGTACTTAGATTCTTCCTGTTTCCCCAAGGAGGATAAATTCAATTAGACCTGATGTATCAGTAAGAATATGTCTGTGTCTATCAACTGACTTACAAAAAAGTATTACCTTGGGGAGTGGATTCCAAGAACTATAAAAGGAAGTGAAGTGAGCACATTCACGACGGTTTCTGCAACACTCTGATCACCTAATAAAATGGGAAAATATGTAAGCAGATATGTGTTTGTCGTGCAAGAAATCGGATTGCAAATCAGATGAATATGAAAACAAATGCTTTTATATCTAAAATACCTTGAATGCAGCAGCCCTGGATGGGCTTCAAACAAGGCGGTCTTTGCTGCCACACTCGCCTGGAGAACAAGTAGACAAAGTTAATTTAGGTGGAATTTCTCTTCTATATATAACTGAATGTAGCATGACTTCAAGACTGCGGTAATTCATCACAATTATCTTAAACAATTATTACTCATGGCTTAGTCTTGTATCGATCGTTGATGAGAACTATACATAATCCAAAATATTATTAGCATACGTTGATAAACAAGTCTCATTGATTAGATTTCTCACTCACTGCATAAAAAGCTGCTGATTTCCTCCAATAGCTGAGCTTCCACAAGTTGAATGAGAAAGGTCCCCAGTTTCAGTAGTCTCTTCTATTTCAAGCCGTGAACAGGGCACCACATGCACCCCATGCATGCCCTCTAGGGCTCTACTCGGGTTCAATGTACTTTGGGGACTCATAATTTTTTCTGGAATACCTTTTGCCAGCAAGATTGCTGGCAAATGTCAGAGGAAGCGTGCTGACAGCAAGCCAATATACTGCTTAAAAGAGCACCACTACAAAACAGCAGCAGTATTTCCACAAATTAAGAGCGGAAAAAATCATAATGTTGAGCAATCACTGAAGCTACAAATCAAACGAGCATCAAAAAGAAAATCACGAATCTTTTGATTCCAAAGGTAAAAGATTTTTATCTGGTTTTGATCCCTATGCTGTTGTTAGAGAGCTCATTCAGTCTTTTACATGATTTAATTGTTTTTTTTTTTTTTTTTTTTTGGTTTTGTTCTCTAACTCGAACTGTCGATCTCGATGGCGTGAGATCACCTTGTACAAACACTTGATTTACAGCTAAAGGTTCATGTAGCATGTAGTAGTCTAAGAGAGGGTTTGCGGCGATACGCTTTAACTACTGTTCAAGGTTCAAGGAAGACAACGTAAAGTTTTTCTTTTACCCTGCAATTTAATCTAAACATGTAAACTAGACCCTGACAAGCCATCCTGGTGCATGTTTCTAAGTTGTACTGCTACAATCTGCAATAAATCAAACCTAACCATGCAGAAACCTGAATGTACGCTTAAGTCCGGTCCAAAAATACTAAAAAACCGAAATCACCCACAAGTTCAGGTAACCGTCCGGCCCAGAATTTACGTGTTGTAGTGCTACATGCAAGAAAGTTGGATCAATTCAATCAAGCAGGAATTTTTAAATCCGAGCAGCAATTGTGGTTTGCTACGCACCATTCAGAGGTGGGTATGCCATACTAAACCGAGAACTCGGCGCATGCTTAATGTGACCGCAGCATAAGATGATAATGAGTCTCCCCCGCTCGACTTAAATACTCATATAACCAATCACTTTAATCAGCCAGGAATTAATTTGAGAAAATGTGGTTAGAGGTGCAATGATGTCATCACAAATCCAAGTTAACTGGGCAGCCCGGAAGCAGAAAGAAATTCAGATTGTTAAGTCATTAATTACAAAGCAAACAAGCCACCAACGGTCACATTAAAAACATCACAGAAAAGTGTACTACCAAAACAGAGAACGAGAGAGCGAGAGAACCTGGGTCGGATTGGTGGAGCTGAGACAGAAGATGAGGGGGGTTGGGTGTAAATAAAGCGAAATGAAGGGATTTAAATATAAAAGGAAAAAGAGGAAGGGGAGTTATTTCAGTTGAGTTGGAACTTGGAGGAAGGAGAAAGGGGAAGAAGATGCGCATCTCCCCTCTCAAAATTCTAAATTCTAATTTGGCTGCGCATATTCCCCAATTCGTATCAAAAGGTTCTTTCCTTCCAAACTAAAATTCTTATTTCTTTGATTAAAAATGGTGTTTTAGTCAAAATAATTTTTGAGATTGTCATAACTCATAATTTTGATATTTGATATTTAAAATCGATACGAGTGGTCTTGAATTGTTTATTATCAATCATTTTTGTCATTCTTTGAACAAAATTCCCTCAACTTAACAAAGATTTTTCACGGAATAACCAAAATGATTGAGGTGGACAATCTCAGAGACGACTTTTATCGATTTTAAATCTCATATATCAAAGTGAGAAGTTATATCAATCTCATAAATCATTTTTGTTAAAAAACCATTAAAATGTACCAAAATTCTAATTTCTTTTAAGCAATAAGAAAGCCAAGGGTGGCAAGTCATTTTTGCAGTGTTTTGTTCTTGTCTCTTCTCTCAACTTTGTTATTGTTTTTTCTTAACACAAAAATATATACTAAGTCAAGAGTGTAGGAATAAATTAGTTTGATGTCGTTATTCATAAGATTTAAATTTAAGTTTTTTGATACATTGATATTATCTACACTAAAGGGTGAGAAAATGAGCTAAACCTCAAAATAGGCTAACCATAATAATTTGTATTAAATTTGTGTTTGACGAGAATCGCATTCAAAACTTGTACTTGCTATTTCTTATTCCATTTTCCTTTTCAAATTAAAACTTTATTTGATAATTTGTTTCGCTTCTCAATTTTAAAATTGTCACAATTTTTTTCTGACCAAACAATATAATTGTTATATCAAATGTTAGATTGGGAGTTGACGGGGTTTAATCCCACCATGGTGCAAGGGTAACATCTCTCTCAACCACTATAATTCTCAAGCAAATATCTGTTTTCAGAAAATAAAAAAATTGTAATTCTCAAACAATCTGTTTTTAATTTTCAATTGATAACTAATAAATCTTATATAGAGACAGAGTTTACCTCCACGTCCAAATCGTGGGCCTCACTCCTCAGACGGAACATGGCAGAGAGGGAAGGAGGGAGGGAGAGAGAGAGAGAGAGAGAGATTGTGAGCCCCACAACCTGACTCGGGAAAAAAGATCTACTCAATGCAACGTTAGGCAGCATTGACGGCCCATATTTAGACTCCAGGCCCTAGGCCCGCTAAGCATCGGCTCGTTCTGATATTGGGCTACCTAGCCATGTTCACGGTGAGCCCACAGTTGCATGATTGTGTTCCTCTTGCATCTGTATAATTTTGTGTATTAATTAACTAAATAATCATTATTAGTAAATTAAGTTACAATTAACAAACAGATCAAGATTCAAGACGTTTTACTTTTTATTTTTGTTGACTCCATTTCTTTGAAATTAATATTATGTTATCTGTAAGATCTGATCATGGATTCATGGAGGTGGACTTGTCTTTCGCAGCTAAGTTTAGCTGTCATTCTTAAATTGGTGATTTTCAGGTTAGCTGTGCTGGTTAACATTTCTCTGCCTACTTTACATTTAAATAGCATCACACAGTTTGAAATGAAGAGTCGAAATTCTCTTTGGACCTCTGTGTTTGGAGTTTAAAGATCTGGAAATTTGGGTCGTTGAAGAGAGAAAATAGTGATTCAAATCCTTAGTTTGTATGAGGTGGATAAGTGGAATAGACTAATAAGGCTGGCAAAATTTAAAATAAGTGATCCAAATCTCCGCGCCGGTCGGTTCCGGAGAGATTTGAATTCTCAAACGATGGCTATGATAAAGACGTACGCATACAACTTGTCATGAAGGGCAAAGAGTTGAAGCATAATAAGAGAATTGTAAAATCATGTAATTAGAGATAGAGATTCAGAGAAATTAGTACATCCCTAGCTACATACTAAAAAGAAAAGAAAAAAAATTTGTGTCACAATCAATTGATAAACCATAAGACAATACAACGACCGAGTTTTACTATTTTCTTAATAATTGTAATGTGAGATTTGAAATTGAGACATTGTTTAGCGTTACAAAGAGAAGTACTACTATACTAATGACATGTTTCCTTGTTCGTAATTCGTGATAATAATTGAATTAATGAGGAATTAGAATTGAAATTCACATTAAAGTTATTTACTAATCTATCTCAACTTGGAGTAAGAATAATATTGATTGTATATAAGTTGTTTATTGATTTCTCTCAATCAATTTTGAAACTACTTTGATTACTAAAAGGCTTTTTAGCCAAAATGGTCCATGAGATTTGCATAACTCCAAATTTTGGTCCATGAGATTTGAAATCAATAGAATTGGTCCCTGAGTTTGTCCACCATCAATCATTTTCATTATTCCTTGAAAAATCTCCATCAAATAAGAATAAAATGATCAAAATACCCTTAATTTTTGTCATTTTGATTCTTATTTAACATAATTTTGCATTGGAATGACCAAAATGATTGATGGTGGACAATCTCAGGGACCATTTCAATTGATTTTAAATCTCAATGACCAAAATGAGGAGTTATGCAAATCTTAAAGATCATTTTGGCTAGAAAGCCTTACTAAAATGTTCTTTTTATTTTAGCAAAGCTTGGAAGTTTAGGAATAATATAAGGATAAAGTGGATAAAATTTGAATTTCTAATGTGTTGTTTATTAAAAAAATTAGAATGCCACTTCCTAGCCGATCAAGAATCGAGTTCCCCCCAAATTAGAAATTGAATCCGATTTCTGATATTGTATAAGCTCCATTTTTACTTTCATTCCTGTATAATTCATAAACACAAAGATTGGTAATCGAGGTCCAACATTTTATTTCCTCATTAGTAAACATAGCATAAGATGAGCTAGTTGGTTTATTACAAGGCTCCATTTTTTTTGTCCACATTGCTAGATTAGGTTTGAAAATGTTCCGGGGACAACGGCTATTAATTCTGGACAGTCCTACACCGTCTCCAAGTCCGAGCCAGCAGCATATATGAGAAACCTTATAAATATGTATATTATATATAAAAAAACATTAAAACACACAAAAAACCAAACAGATACCGAAAAGCAAAGCAAAGAAAAAAAATCAAATCAAAGCGGTGGTGAGCGGTGGTGGGGTGAGTAAAAGGTGCAGACTCCCAAGTCTCTCAGTCTCAGAAGAGATGATCAAATAAGAAAATATAAGAAGGTTCCAGGAATCAAGGGTCAAGCTCATGTGCCTTTAGACCCACAAGACAAGGAAAATCCAACAAGCACCAAAAGGTTTTAACCTTTTTTCTGTTTCCCTCTTCTCCTTCACTGAAAATCACTGCCAAAAAAAGCCACTTTTCCCAGAAGTAGTACTTCTACTTGCACTGCATTTTTTGTTTTATAAGTTTTGTTAGTCTTTGGCATTTTTTACAACATTTTTAGTTGGTGCAATGAGAGCTGCCAGAGAAGGTGGAACAAGAAGAGGAAGCAGAAATGGTCGTGGAGAAGCTAGAAGCATTGCGACTTTCGTCTTCTGGCTCGTTTTAATTTTTACTCAAACGAGTACTTTGGTGGTTTTTGCCAGTACTACGACTACTAGTACTATTCACGACGATGGGTGGACGGGCCGGATAATGAGTTCGCAGCCGCGGAAAACACGATTTCTGGGCACGGTATCGTTTTATGCACCTTCGAACAGTCCATCTCACCATGTTCATCATCTTCCGGCGACCAACGGTGACCCAGACAAGCTATACGGAGAAGACAAGAGAAAAGTTCATACAGGTCCAAACCCTCTTCACAACTAATTAATATCGAAATCAATTACCTTTTTTATTTCGATATCAGTGGTTGTGTGGTTAGGGTTTACTTTGTCGCTGGGCGGCCGCTGCCGCTGCCGTTGCTGCTCCTCCTCCTGTGTATTCCAGTACGTACTACTGCTAGCTTAGCTATAGGTAGCTAGCTAGATTTTTATCAACTGAAACTGTGTAACATCTTTATGTCATCAGTGTTTTTTTTCCTTTAATTATTGTTGTTTCTGAGGTAGAAAGAATGAGAGCATGGCTTTAGCCTTTTCCGGTAGGGTTTGATGATTAGGGTTATGGGCAGAGAAGCAAATGCTGAGAATAGTAAGAGGATTTAAAACAAAAATTGGAAAGGCTAGTGTTAATAATGCTCTTGTTTTCTTTTTACAGTGACTCATAAAATTGTTCTTACTTACCCTTTCTCTCTCTACCTTCTGTATGTTTAGAAATTCTTTTAATTTGTGAGAGAGCTTCAATTCATTGCTGTCCCTAGTTATTATATTTTTGTCCTCTTTAATTTTGTTCGTGTCGTCATGGTTCAGAGCTCCCCATAACCCTAGACATAATTCACAATGTTGCAGCACAGAATGTATAGCTATAGAGTCAAATCTTAGCTAGAATGTGAATGCCTTTTGGATGAAAGTCTAGTGTTGGATTTAGGGTTTCTTGTTTTTTATGCAAAAAATACTATACCCATGAACTTCTAAACTGTAAACTAAATGGGGAAATGATTGCCACATTTGTGTATTTCTGTCTTTTAATTCTTCTTTGACGTATTTAAAGATTAGAAATGAATTGAAGTGTGTGTAAAGAGAAATAAGATGAAAACGGTATATATCGTGTATAGTTATGGTCAACCGGATCTGAAGGTCCAATTAGTGGAATTTCACCCATTGCCAAAGAACAAGGGCAAGAGCTTCTCCATTTATCTTAGTGCTTCTTCTCCATGATTATGCATGTTACACAGGTTTGCAATATATTTAGACCCAATCACCCAGCACTGACTCAAAGCACGACCATGACCACTGGTCTAAAGTATCTCTAGCATTCAACCTACTAGGGCAAAACATGAACGTCTAATAATGAGCCACGTGGGCAAGTAGGGGCATGGCTCATGTGGTTGTAAGTCCTTCGAAATAAATATTGGCTGGGAATTGGACAATTTTTGATTGATTGTTCCTAGATCTGCATTTGACTTAAATGCATCATTTTTTTTTAATTTTTGCCCCCAAAGAGGATGCCT